AAGTAAAGTAACTAGTAAGAAAGTATAATTTAAGTTAACTATAATAAGAGTAATAATAAAATCTATCTATCCTTATATCCTTATTACTTCTAGTCCTGCTATTAGAACTTTGACCCGCTATTACTAATGGCTGTCTCTACTTCTGATGGTTGCCATTACATACGGTACCTGCCATCACTAATAGCACTATCTTGGCGTGATGGCGTATTACGTGACCTTGCCCCGCGATACCTATCGTTCCTAGTTAGTATCCTAAGTGGTTTCTCAACCACTATACCATCATCACCAGGGAGAGGATCCTTCCCGTTGTTGCTTGTAACACCATGGCTGGGAAAGCGGACAAACCTGTAGGAAGTGCGTTCGTAAGTTTCTTCTTGTCATTTGTACGAGAACATCAGATTTTCTTTCTCTAACACGATGCCAAGTATAATCAATGTAAAACATTACCATAAAGTTTGCATAACCATTTTTAAGTCTTGACAATATTTCTCTACTCGCCTCTTCCTTCCATCTAAACTAAAGAGATCACAACTAACACATGCCAGACCGCCACCATGTCCTCCCCAACCGACCCCCACTCCACCAGCATCACCAACAACACACCCGAAGCTCACAAAGCCCGCGCTAACTCCGACATAATCAACCTCTTCAAAACCCCTCCTACCTCAACCACCAATCCCTCCATCAAAGGCATAGGACTCTACACCCACATCGCCGCCCCCACCAACCCCAATTCAGAAGAAACACCCCCACACCCAATCTTCCTCCCTACTCCCCAATCCCCCACCGGAAAAGCCCCTTCAACCCCAACATTACCAGAAGAAATCCGCACTCTATGTTCAGACCTACGCGACTTGATCCGCGACGAAGAAGCAGCGCTAGCAACCCGCGATCTCAGTCTTGAGGAACTTACGGAACGCTATGCTGGACTGCCTGACCCGAGTGACGAGACGGTGCTGGTGTTGCGTGAGAGGCCGGATGTGGTGATGCAAGAGGATGGGTTAGGTCGACAGAGTATGGAGAGGGAGGTTGTGGTGCAGAGTGGGAGTCGTCGGACATCGGTTGATGGAGTGGGGGCTGCGGTGGCTGGGGGTAGGGAAGATGTGAGTATGCGGGGCGTGGAGGAGGAGTCGGCGAGGAGACTTCCGTCTGGTACGCATATTTATCGGGAGGATCCGAGGAGGAAGAGGTGAGTGGGGGGTTTGAGGGAGGAGAAGGAGGATGGTTGGTGGTGCTATGAATGTGTTCTAATGGGGCGGTTATTGTAAGGCAAGGGATTACTGGTTGAAAACCTAAAGTATATGCTTGATTTGAGCGACGATAATAATTCTACGACAGTGTGGCCTTTATTTATAGATATCACAAAAATATAGTTCTCGGATTCACTAAAAACAATATCCACATATCTCATACACAAAACTATTTCGTAAAAATAACATACACGCACAATCCCGCCCACCAAACACCAACCAGCCAGTCCAAAAAAGGGGTATATCTCCACACTTCATCCGTATCACACCGCCGTCATCCTAACAACCCCAAACCCATCCTCCCTCTCCACCGCCCTCCCCCCACCAACCATACACGTCCCACCGCCTCTCTCATCAAACCAGCGACTACACCTATGCCAACTCGGCAAACCCTCCGGATCCTCATCTTCATTCTTGCATCCCCGGCCACACCCGCCGTTCTGCCGCCATTGCGCTCCAGCCCACTTGGTACACCGCGCGTACTCCGCGCATTTTTGCGCTCTCTTCTTCTTTTGCTGTGAAAAGTCGGATAGAAGCGAGCGGGAGGTAAGACGGCGCAGTGTTATAATGGCGTGGGCGCAGAAGTCCGGGGTAGGGAGGGGGAGCTGGGTGGATGCGAGGGCGGTGGTTTCGAGGGACTCGAGGTTGTAGAGTAGTTCTTCGGAGACGGAAAGGAGAAAAGATGGGGCTGGGTGATCTTGTTTTGGGGGTTTGGAGAGGAGGCTTGAGGCTTTGCGGCGAAGTGAGCGTTTGTGGCTTTGTTCTAGTTCTTTTGGCTGGTGGGATTCGAGGGTGTGTGGTGGAGGTGTGATGGCTCGTACGATTGCGTCGTCGAGTTCTTCCAGGGAGCTGGTTCCTGTGCTGTCTAGTCCATGTTCTAAGACTTCTTTTGAGCAGCCTGCCATGGCCATGTAGACTAGGTCTTTCAGTTCCATCAATAGTTCGAAGATGATGCGCTGAGGAACGGGCTTTTGCTCAAAGAGAGTCTGGATGGAGGGGAGAAACTTCTGGGCCACTTCCCCGCCCGTGTAAAGGTTCTTGCCATTGGCGAAGGGAGCATTGTCGATCATCTGAAATTCGATTTTGGACATCTGCCGTGATAGACCGGCTGCGAGGTGGCGAATTTGGACCAGCGGATTCTGAGTAAGAGAAGACTGAAGGGTTGGCGCAAGGTCTACCAAGGTATCAGCATGCGCGCTCTTCTATAGATTCGAATACATTGACGAGTATGTCAAGTCTATAAGTACATACCAGTAAAGGCGACTTCTCCAGCAAGTGCTACTAGTGCTTCAGCAAGCTCCTTTTCCCTTTCCTTCAACTCCCGTCTTTGGCTCTGCATCGCCCGCCATGGTACCACGAAGCCTATACTCTTTCCACCCACATCCACTGTCTTTCCATCTGAAACCTCTTGTGTGCTTTCTGAAACCCCCCCTTTGGTATATTTCTTTCCTTTTTGTCTCTGGAGATCTTCTTGGTGGTACTGTAAGGTGAGCAAGAGATCGTTGTTATCTTTGGTGTTACGGAGGTTGCGCCAGACACCCAGGACGGCATTAGTGGAGAAGAGATGTTGATATGGCGACATTGTGTTTGCGCAGACAAAGTCAGCTTCACATTGCTAATATTTGGATCGTGAGAAATGACTGTGGCGCAAAAGCACACAGTATGTATTTGGGTTGTGGATGTATGCGATCCACTGGGCGCTTTGTTTGCAAGTTGGCGGATGAAAGCTGCGAACCCCTGTTTGTCAACAGATTTAACCACATTAGGAAGACAACGCGTGGGGCGGCATGTGAGGGGCAACGCACGCGCGATTCATGATGCTGGGTCAATAGTACAGTTGTATTCTTGTCTTCATGCAGTCATGAGTTTCGACACTTGGAATCGACCCTACGTTGAGGTCTCTATAGTACAGTCGTATATCAGCATTCCATCCCAACCAGTCCCGAAAGATCAAACACAGCCCAAGCGATTCCGTTATGCTGATGCGCCGAGGAACACCAAAATATGCGTCGCTACGAACATTGACAGAATCCAATTTGTTGCAAATCTCATTAGATCATGCCAGCCATGCCCTGTGATGCGTAGGCCATGGGCTTGATGTTTGGATGCGCAACCGCATCGAACTGGGTAAAATTGAGCTTGTAGTCTGGCCCAATCTTGATAAAGGCGCCCTTGTTGTGGGTGCTGTCGCAATAATTGGGGGCCGAGAAGACGGTAATACAACGTCCGTCGTGCTCAACCTCGTAGCCGCCCATGCGTACCTCGTGCGATCGGATAATGGCCTCGAGACCGTTGTTTTCGCAGAAGCGCTTGGTGACATCAGGGCCAAACTGTAGACCAACACCACGTTTACTAGGTCCTCGGCCTGGGCTCGTCTGGGGGTCAGTCCACAGCATCTCCATCATAAGGCCGGATTGGCCTGGTTGCCTCTGCTTAAATCGGTTGAGCTTTCGTACGTCGTCCAGGGTAATTTGATCATCGGAGAAAAGACCGCCGTGAAGCACAAAGTACTTCTTGCCAATAAGAGTTGCTAGAGGGAGGGCTGAGAAGGATTCTGAGAAGAGTTTGAATACACGCTCGGTGTACTTGGCCTTGCACTCTCCCTCGAAGCCGTACATTCTGTTCATGTCGTCTGTTTCGTGGTTGCCTCGGTTGAGGAAAAAGGAGTTGGGATATAGCCACTTGTAGGCGTACAGTAGCAATGCGATTTCAGTGGACCAGGATCCTCGGTCGACAAAGTCGCCGTTGAAGAGGAATGCATGCTTTTCCGAGGGCTTTCCTGCGAGGCGGAAAATCTCCATGAGATCGAAGAACTGGCCTGGGGTTGTTGGTAAGTATTAGATTAAGATTGGACTCGTGCAACATACCGTGCGTGTCACCACAGACTGTGATTTCATGGCCTTGCTCAACGTCGTGCTCGACCATGGTGGGCTCCTTTTTGATAATGTCCATGACGGCGATGATGATCTGGTAGACGTACTTCTTGGCCAGCTTCTTTCCGTTCTTAAATCTTTCAATCATGTCCTCTATGAACTCGAGCGTCATCTTGTCCTCGAGCTTTGCGCCGTCGTATGAGGGGTCAACGACCATGTGTTCGAGGTCCAGGCCCTCTGCGGCCGAGGGCGCATCTTCGACTTCGATAGCCTTGAGGAAGGCGTCTCGCTTGACAATCTTGTCGCACTCGGCCATGCGCAGCTTTGCGTTGGCATCGTTGGGGGCTTTCTTAACGACGAGCTTCCAGTCGCGGAGGGCCTCACGATGCTTGAGGATGGCCGTGTTGGCCGAGGCGCGACGAAAGTATGCCTGCGGGGAACGTGGTGAGCGCCATGATGAGCAACCAAGGGTGGGGGATGTGGTACCTTGACATTGTTGGGGTCGAGTTCAATGGCCTTGTCTGCGTCTTGTATAGCATATCCGTACTGTTCGAGCTTGATGTATGTCTAGAGCGCAAGTTAGCATACAGCTGGGCTTTGTGTGGGGGGCAAACAGGCAGCGTACCTGTGCGCGATTGGTATAGAAGGAGGGCTCTGCGTCGTATGCCTCTATGGCTTTTGTGTAGAATTCGAGGGCCTTGTCCCACTCCTGGTTCTTGAAGGCCTTGTTGCCCTCGTCCTTGAGCTGGACAGCCTCAGCTGGCGGGCTCCCCATGGTGTGTCGATGGAAGGCGGCACGGGCCGTAGCAGTGGAATGCTCAGGCTTGCGACTGCAGGACAAGCGCAACGGGAAGGCACAGGTGCAGTTTGTTGGCGATTGCAGTAGAGGCAAAAAAGAGGCAGATACAAACAATGACGCACCACAAAAGGCGAGAAGGTTCGTTGCCCGCACTGCCCGCCAAAAGTCATCAATCAATTCCGTCCCGCCCTCGCTCGCTCGCCTCGCCTTGCCACTAGATTGTCCCCCCCAGCGCCACAGGCCAGCCAGCGGTCCCGGCCCCGACTAGCCGTCATGGCGCGTAAGGGCACTGCAATGGTCAAGTCGACGACGGCCAAAGGCGATACACGCTCAAAGCCTGGTCGAGACTATCAAGGGTCCAGTTCTGCAGCGAGTAATTCACCAGAAGATAGCAGATATACCTATCAAAATAACAGACCAGAACAGTATCTAGACGAGGAGGATTCCAATGCCCATGCCCATGCTGCAACCTCACGCGAGCCACTAAACCCCTCTAGAAACGAGTCAGGGCCAGAGCCAGAGCCAGAGCCAGAGCCAGAGCGCCGCCAGCCTCGCCAAGCTTCTGGGACCGTGGAACAAAGTACTAGCAGTAGTAGCACACCGTTTTCTTACACTTACAACACCTTCGACCAGCCTATATCTCCTCTCCGGGGCACTCGTCCTCCTCGACCAGCCACAAGCCATTCCTACCATCTTCAGAATCAGCCATATCCACCAGAGCCATCTTCACCGAATACACGCCGCGGTCAACGTCAACGTCGAGGCCCAAGCAGCGCGTCCACAAATCACACACCCGACGACAGAGACTCCGACACCAACGAAAACATGGCTGGCGGCGCGTACATCCCCCCGAACCAGCAGCGCAACATGCGCGCCTGCATGGTCTGCTCCATTGTCCGCACCCAGCAGCAGTTCCTGTCCCAGGGCTGCCCCAACTGCGAGGAGTTTCTCGAGCTCACCGGCAACCCGGAGCAAATCAACGACTGTACCTCGCAAGTCTTTGAAGGACTCATCACCGTCGCAGACACCACCAAGAGCTGGGTGGCCAGGTACCAGCGCCTCGAGGGCTACCAGCCGGGTGTGTACGCGACCCAGGTCGAAGGCATCCTCCCCGATGACATTATCGGCTTGATCGAGAGCGCCGGCATCAACTACGTACCAAGAGATGGCAGCGAGCAGGATATGCTTCCCAAGGATTAAGGGTAACAACTAAGAAAGCAGGGGCTAGGAACAAGGACAAGACGCGACATGCGCCACGGAAAGTGAACGTTTTGCATTAAATTCTTAAGCGACGGCGTTAGGGTAAAAGATGATCTACGGATCCACTGGTAGCAACATATCAGCTTAACAAAGAATTCATACATTCAATCATGGCACTTGCATGTCAACCTGGTTTTGACAAAGAAATTTGCATTATCCCTGGTCGTCCACTACTCGCTTTGCTTCCTGCCCTAACCTGTTTTCTAGACTCGTATTGCAAGGCCACCAGAGATGCGCCTCATCCTGATCTAGTAGTCGGCGATTCTACGCACCGGGCGACGATAGCATCCATAGAAGCGGTAAATTCGCGCTACTGGTACCTGACCGACATCTTCCTATCGCTGGCTTCGGACTTAACGTGTGGACTTAAGCCAACTGTCCGACGTAACAACCTCATCAGGAGTTCACAACGCCCTGCCTATACTTCTCTCGGCCATATGCAACTGCTGCAGGAACAAAGTACTCGGAACATCCCACCCCGAAACACGCAATCAGGTGCCTGTAGATCCCACCAAGCAGCTCTCGCACATTACCCTCATGTCGTCCAGGCTCAAAGTGCGACATAGCGCGCGCTGGGGGCCTTGCAATCGCTCATTCCTTCTTTCTCCCTCTTCTTCCGACTTTAATTCGTGCTGTCCCTGTGATGTACGCGCAGTGACATAAAACTTGTAATCCCGCCAGCTGACCTACTCCCCTTTTCTTTCTTTGACTCGACTTTTTGCTTACCGCAACTACAACACCCACCACCAACCACCATGGTTCCGCTCATCCAGCAGAAAGCCCCAGAGGGCATCGATCTCTACGCTCGCTTTGCGGTCGCCGGTGCACTGGGGTGCTCAGTTACCCACGGCGCTTTCACACCAGTCGATGTGTAGGTCTCTCCTTCATCTCCTCCAGCTTTCCCCCTTCACCCAAACCAATATTTTCCGCAGCGTCAAGACTCGGATCCAACTCGACCCCGCGACCTACAACCGCGGCATGATCGGCGGGTTCCGCCAGGTCATCCAAAACGAAGGCGTACGCGCTCTCGCAACAGGCTTCGGTCCCACCTTCGCCGGCTACTTCATGCAAGGCGCCTTCAAATTCGGCGGCTACGAGTTCTTCAAGAAACAATCGATTAATCTGCTTGGTCTGGAAAAGGCGCGCCAGCATCGCGCGGCTGTGTACTCGGTTTCTGCGGGCTGTGCCGAGTTCTTTGCTTCGATTGCGCTGTGTCCGCTTGAGGCGACGCGGATTCGCTTGGTGTCGACGCCGGGGTTTGCTAATGGATTGATTGGTGGGTTTGGGAAGATTCTGAGGACAGAGGGTGTCGGAGCTTTTTACTCGGGTTTTGGTCCTATTCTTTTCAAGCAGTAAGTTATCCTGGCATGTCTTGTCCCCCTAATAGACTGCTGCGGAGCAGAGCGGGAAGTTGATGTCTATCACAGGGTCCCGTACACAATCACCAAATTCGTTGCTTTCGAAAAGATTTCCGAAGCTATTTTCGCTCTTTTTGACAAGTCGACTATGTCAAATGGTGCTCAGACCACTGTCAATCTGGGTTCTGGTCTTCTTTCCGGTTTCGCTGCTGCTATTGTGTCACAGCCTGCTGATACCATGCTGTCCAAGATTAACAAGACACGAGGTCTTCCTGGTGAGAGCACCGTCTCGCGTTTGATCAAGATTGCTGGAGAGCTGGGCATCCGGGGTTCATTCACGGGCCTTCCTACTCGTCTTTTCATGGTGGGTGGTCTTACTGCGGGTCAGTTTGCTTTGTATGGAAGTATCAAGAGAGCGTTGGGTAAGTCTTTGTTATTACTGTGATTTTTTCTTCTGTTGTACGAGACTGACATTATGTGTAGGTGCTACCAGTGGCGTTGAGATTGCCAAGTAGAAATAATACATATTTCCTAGTTCCTCGATAGTTGCGATATAGACAAGGAATAAATCATTAGATCAAAAGATAGTGTAAAATAAGACATGTCTCGGTATGTCGTCTAACAGGATACGTCACTCGTGTATAACAACGACACAATTGATTTCAGGACATCAAATTGAATTGATCATTCTTCGTCGATCCACCTATATCATACCATATACCAAGCCTTCAAGCCTCATCATCAATCAATCTATATACAAAAAGTCCAAAGACCCACATCAGCCTAAGCAGGGATAGATCCAGCGACAGCCCTGATTCCCGCATACCAGATATCTCCCATGCGGTTGTATCCAGCAACATTCCTATCATCAGTTAGCCCATCAATCCTTGCTTACAAATAGCAAGAATATCAACTTACGGGTGCAAATCATCACTCAACTCGGTGCTAGGATTCAAAACACTCATATCCACAAGCGAAACCTTTGACCCCTTGCTCGCGCGCGCCGACACAATCGCAGGCAACGCATTATTAAACGTGCGAATAGTATTCGTCAGACTGGCCCTCTTTGACGGAATAATCTTGGCTACAATGACAACCGCATTCGGCACAACCTTGAGTACATCGTCAATCAGCAGGCCCAGTCTGCGTGGCGCATCCGCATCAGGCTCCGACGACGGGTTGCCGCGGTTGAGATCGTTGGTTCCGGCGTGGATGAGCACGACGTTGGGGCGCAGGTTGAGGCCGCCGCCGGCGACGCCGCGGATCTGGTTGATGGTGTAGCCCGGGAAGCCTTGGTTGTCTTTGTCGGCCATGGTGCCGGATTTTTGGGTGCCGACAAAGTCGACCGTGTAGCCGCCGGATTGTAGGTCGGAGAGCAGGCGCTCGCGGTAGCCGTTGGAGCCGCCGCCGTTGATAAAGCCCCAGGTTATGGAGTCGCCGAGGGGCAGGATGCGGAGGGATTTTGTTTGCCGGGTTTCGAGGGATGCATCGGTGGGGAGGGCGCTGGCGAAGGAGAGGACTGTTTGGGGGAAGTGTGGGTTAGTGGGATATACTGGTTTTGCGGGATGAGGGGGGGAGGTGTACAGAGAGATAGGATGGCAAGTGGCAGTGCCAACTGCTTCATTATCTTCGACAACATGATTTACGTCGTATCTCTTTCACTTTCAGAGAATTGGACCCAAAAGAGCGAAGAGAGAAAGGTGGGAAATACGAGATGCCCATCCCCCCACCCCTTTATATATAAACCTTTTTTTCCCATAATTCCGCCCAGCCGTGACAACTTTACCCCAGATTCTTTTCTGTGGTTCCACATGGGCTTTGCGGCTATGTTTCCATCAAAGTGACGCGTTGCTCCGCCCTGGAATTTCTCCGTTAATTTGATTGAGGAAGGCCCAGGCGCTAACTTTACTTACCATCCCCCTCCCCAGTCCATTTGTCAATCAATCTCCGACTCCGCATGTTCGTTAATCGTGTTTCCGCCCGTCCGTGCGGCTAAAGCTGGTCAATATATATGTAAATATCGCCTTGTGGCTTTATTGGGTATATTCATAGTTGGTGGAAAGTTTCCAAAGGTCAACGGGTAGGGCTTGTGGGGTGTGGGGAAAGAGGTGCGGTTTACGGCCGGTGGCAGATGTCCGGGGGTAATTTCTAGCATGGGTTATTTGCCGTAGTGTTTCAAGGAGGATAGCGGCATTTGCGCCAGTAATGTCGTTGTTTCATTGACCACCCTGGCACTCTCGGCATGCTGCTGTGGCGTTTTTGTAGCTTGACTTGAACGTTTATATAGTATCACGTCATTGCTGTCCAATGCTAGAAACTCTATCGGTCGCATCCCCCATCCAGTCCAATCTGTCGAGCCTGAAAGTAATCATCACAGTCTGTTCCATCTGGTACTGTCAATTCTCTAGTTCTCACATGACGCTCTTCGCTTGCGAGCCATGGGTCTGTTGCCATCTGGCCATGATGAAGCCTTTAGCCCTACCCGATGATACACCAAGAAATGCGATTTGATTGTTCCTAAGAAACTCTCCTACCAATACTCGTAGATCTACACCAAACATCAGGATTCACCATGTTTAGCTAGCACAAGGCTATGCGATGAACACTAGGGCCTCCTTTACTACGTCCGGGAGCTAGCGGTCAGCAGCGGGTAGTCAGGGAGATGTGTACCTGACGCTATACCCCTTCGTTGGCACTATCTCCACGCTTTCAGTATAGCATCGCCACTTTTGGTATATTATGTAAACAATAACCGGATACGCGGTTCTATAGTGCATATTCTTTGTCGTAGCAGGACAGGATGTACTGATTGTGTTGCATAGGTAGACCCGTCGGAATTCTTAAATAAACCGACCCTTTTGCACGTAACATATATCAATGTGTGTTCTCTAGGCAACGGAGGGAAAGGAATAGCTTAGAGATTAATTATATGTAAGTATAGTAGGCATAAGATTGTGGTATCGGCGACATATACTCGCGCAGCAATCTTAGCAACTAGATCTATTGCTAATGGTAGATATTGACTAGAGTATCGTAAATTGCATGGTGACTATGGAAAATAGCTTCCGGGAAAAGCTGCTTCACTGCAAACGTCGGAGATCTAGTTAAGCATTCTACTCTCTTAACCCGAACATATGTGAATTGTTGAAAAACGACGATGACGACTTGTTTCTTGCAACTACCCTTAACTAATCATGTTAATCTTATTTACTTTTCATGGAACACCCTCACTTTATAACCAAAAAAAAAGACGAGCAAGCCCGTAGACATCTCACTAACAAGTCTTTTGGACTAATCTGCATCTTAGCGAGAAATCAAGTGGGTAGACGGTATTGATAACGGGAACAACTACGCCTTTTCGTCTCAATTCAACAGATTGAGACAGAACATATCAAAACAGCGTGGGTATCAATATCCAGAAGTTGAAGGCTTGGGGAAAAAAGTGAGTGTTAGTATTCACCTTTTATTCCATCTGCAATACAACTCCACATACCACACCAAATAAGTAGACATCTTGACATTCAATATCTACCTTCCTAACCACCCCCCAAATTGAACAAGAAAGCAAAAAAAAAAAGATGGATATACCAATCCATACGTTCCCAAAACAAAGTCATAACCATCGTTGCAATTCGTAAACAAGGAAAAGAGAGATTTTTGTAGTCCATTCCCAAGGAAGAGAAAAACCGCAAAAAAAACACAAGAAGACGAAGATTTGCAAGTGATGACAAAAAGGAAAGACGAGAAAAGAAAAATAACTCTCCAACCTTCCCCAGAGAAAAAAAAAAGAGTCGGACCAATCTAATTCCGCACCTTTTCCCCCCATCTCAACCATCCATTCGAGAAGATCAGAGAAAAAGGCCGAAAGGAAGGTATCAACGACCACAAAAAAACTATGCACAAGAATCGAAAGTTTTCTTCACCCACCACGCTCACTCACACTTTTTCCACCCACTTACTCGCCCACCTACCCAGCCCTCAAAAAATCTCATGACCCAACCCCCCATACCCATCATCCCTCCCCTTCCTCGCCCGACTCTTAACCTCATCCGCCACATCTTGCGGCAAACTAGGAACCTCAGGAACATTGACACCATCGGGGACAACGCAGACAGGCTCATCGCGCTTGATACTGCTTCTCGAGAACTTCTTGCGGAGACGAGAACTTTGGCGCTTAGAATTCTTGCTCTTCTTCCGAGACGCAGACTTAGCGTGCTTGGTCGACAGCTCGTCTTCTTCGTCGTTATCGTCGTTGTTGTCGGGATCGGCTTCGTATTCAGAGGCAGAAGGGACGGAGAACATGTCTGTGTCGCCTTCGGAGTCGGTGGGGAGGGGTTTGTAGTCAGTGTCCGAGTCGTGAGCCGCGGTTGTTTTGCGCTTTTTGAGGATGCGGCCCATGCTTCTTGCGGCGGTGGAGGCGTTGTTAGACGAGGTCGAGGTACGGGCTTCGGGGGAGGCGGGCTCGTGTTCGCTTTGGGTGACGTCTGGGGTGGGTGGTGCGAATTTGGGGACGGGAGGAGCGGGAGGTAGGTCGTTGTAGAGGACAGTGTGGAGCTCTTTGCGGGCGGAGGCGAGCTTGAATTCGAGGTCCGAGACGCGCTTGCTGAGCTTCTTTTGCTTCTGCAGGTCCTTCTTGCTGGGCGTGTGGTGTAGACCTGGCGTCCGTGGCGTGCCTGGTATGCGCATTGGAGTTGCGGCCTCGACCAATTCTGTCGTCAAGCCGACCTGCATCTTCTCGGCGTTTTGAAGATTGGCTCTGGCAGCCATGGCCGGTCGAACGAAGACCTTTGGCGTTGGAAGCAGGCCACGATCCTTGGCTTCATAGTAGGCAATCTCAGCAGCCTTCTTGCGCTCGTCAAGCAGCTGCTGATGAAGCTGCTGCTCCCTATCCCGCTCAGCGTCCATGCTACCGGCCTTGCGCTTGCCCAGCACGCTGCCGAACATGGACGCAAAAGCGCGCTGTATGCGCGCATACGTACCCTCGCCCGGTCCAGAGGCCGAATTGGCCTGCGCTGGGGCCGACGACTCACGAGAGCGATCCGAGTTCGAGGAGCCCGAGTTCGTCCTTGCGGGCGCAGGTCTGGCTGTGCGCGCCGCATGGTTCGCAGAAGTTTTTCTCGACACGGGCGGTTGCGCATTCTCCTCGTTGTACTGATCAATCAGATCGTCAATCTGAATGTCTTTCCACAGCTCCTCAGGCGGCGGGCGAATGGTGCTGTTTGTGTTTGTATGCTCCTTGAAGCGCGATGGGCGCGGGCGAGCAGCTTCCTCCATGTCCTCACTCATGGCCAGTGTAGTTGCGCGTGTGGTTGGCATGGGCGCTGCTCGCTAATTGAGGGTCCAAAGAAGTGATTGCAGCCAGGGGGAGCACCTCGTGCAGACGGTGCAGCGAAAGCAAGGACTGGGATTGAGGGCGGAGGAGGCCACGGGGCGGGCGAGTGTTGTTGTTGTTTGCGTGAACCAAAGGATCGCACCACGGCCGTAGCCAGAAGCGACCTTGGGCCCGAGAAAGAGGACCCTGCGTCATTACATGACTTGGCGCCCCGTGATTGCTCGTGCCACTGCGCTACACTCCACTTCTGCCCGTGACACGTTGTCGCCAGCCCTTCACCGCCTTCCCAGCTCGGCCGTCGGCGTTCATGCGTTCATCAAACTATAATTTTCTTCGTCACGGCATGAACTCGAGTACAGATGAATGTGCTAGTCAAACAGATGCCACCCGATCTCACTAAAGACGTGGTGCATTACGACGATCTACATATAGTTCCATGGTACACATGCTGCAGGGGGACGCCCAATGTCCGCGCTCTGACACACAAAACATGTAGTAAGCATACAGAAAAAGACAATCCTCTACAACTTCGCCTTAGGTGCAGACTCCTCAGCCAGTGCCTCCTCGTAGCAGTCATCCAGGTGCTGTCTGAATGCCTTGACTGTTTGCGGGCGCTTCAGTTTCAATCTACATTTTGTTAGCATATATCATCCCATCCCATGTGACTAGAGACGACTTACGTTGGTGTCAAGAGCTGGTTCTCAATCGTAAAAGGATCCACAAACAGCCTTATAGCCCTGACGCGCTCCCAGCTGTTGAACTTGTTCTTGCGTCCCACCCTGTCCAGGTCTTTCAACACAGCCTGCTGGACCTTCTTGTTCTGACACACCTCCCTAAGCTTCGCCATGTCGCCCACAGGAATCGTCTCACCAAGGACCTTGGACGCAAACTGCGGGAACAGATCTGGCGCAACACCGAAAATGGCAACAAGGAAGGACTGTTGCGAGTCGCCGTGGACGTAGCCCGAGGCCAGGTAGGTGCAGTTTGCCAGGTAGAGGTTCTCGATACGCTCAGGTGAAATGTACTCGCCCTGTGCAAGCTTGAGAACGTTCTTCCTGCGGTCAATAATCTTGAAGCGGCCGAGTTCGTCGACGGTGCAAATGTCTCCAGTGTGGAACCAGCCGTCGGCATCCACGGCCTTGGCTGTCTCTTCGTCATTGCGGAAGTATTCCCTGAACCGCGTCGACGAACGGACCACGAGTTCACCGCGAGGGAATGGCTTGTCTGAAGCAAAGTATTCCATGTCGGGCACGTCTACCAGGGCACACTCGGTCGTGGGCGCAACACCGCCACAGTTGCCCGACGAAAAATCGTTCTCGTGCTGGAACAGCGCCATGGCGTACGTCTCGGTCAAGCCGTATCCCTGCGTAAAGTTGCTTGCAAAAACAATGCGCAGGAACTGGTGTAGACTGGGGTCAATGGGCGCAGAGCCACTGATCAAGACCTTGGTTCGGTCCAGACCGAGACCCGCAGCCACCTTGCTCGCCCAAACGCGGTCGTAGAGCATATGCTTGTTGGTCGGGTTCTGCTTGTCATGAATAGCCGCAAGCTTGGTGGACACGACGTGCCGTGACAATGTTCCCTTGACACCAGATGCCTGAACCGTAGCTTCCTTGATCTTTCCTCCAAACCTATTGTAGAGCCTGGGTACTCCAGAGAAGATGGTTGGGCGCAGCATCTTGAGATCATCTACGAGCTCGACAACGTTGCCGTGGAAATAACCAATTGCCGAGCCGCCTGCCAGCGCCGAATGCTCCGTCAGGCGCTGGTAGATGTGCGCAAGAGGCAAGAAAGAACAAATGACCTCACCTGCCTTGCCGCCAGTGAGGATCATGCTCGAGCATGTTGCGGCGTGCGCGTTGCGGTGGGTCAATACAACACCCTTGGGATTACCGGTGGTTCCAGAAGTGTAGTTGATGGTGGCAATGTCGTCCGGTGAAGGTGGGTTCATTGGAAGAGGCTGCTTCTCGCCCAGAGCCTCCACATCTCGGATGTAGTGGATGGTCACACCCTGCTCGTTTGCGAGCGAGTTCAACAGGTCTCCCTTTGACTCTCCAGGAAGCTCGCCAGCCGACAACGGGTCGAGAACGACGATGAGTTTCAAAGTCGGGAGTCGTGGCTTCAGCTTCAAGAGCGCTGTAACATGGTTCATTCCCGCAACCACGCAGGTCAGCTCCGCATGGTTGATGATGTATTCAGTCGTGTCCGGGCCAAGCGTGTCGTAGATGGAAACGGTAAAGAGGCCTTGCGACATGCAAGCCAAATCGGTAATCTGCCACTCAGGCCTGTTCTGACACCACAAGCCCACACCGTAATTTGACGCAGTCACACCGGCCTGTCTGTGCAAGTGCACCAAACCAGCGCCAAAGGCCTTCCTCCGCTTCGCAATCGTCTCATAGTCTTCCCAGATGTACGGGCCGAATGTCTTGGTCGCAGCGTCGTAGGGGCGGTGACCGAGACACCTGTTCTTAGGCCATTTCGCAACCGCGTTCTCAAAGGCCTCGAATGGTGTGCTAATCTATTTTAACTTGGTGTCAGCTAATTCTTCCGACCAATGTCGCCCATTTTTGTATGATAAAAAAGCAAAACAAAAGTACCTCGGGAACCAGTTTCTCCAATACAGGCTTGTTGGCAAACCTCCAATGCCTATAGATGGCGCTTCTTCCTTCTATCTCTGTACCAGGCAGCGCAACGCTATAAGGCTTTCCCTTTGGCGGCGGAGTATGAAGCTCGATCGCACGCTCTATCTGAGCGTCTGTGCCTGAAAACATGTTGTCGTTGCGGTGATGCTACGTGCGCGCAAATGGTCCAAAGGTCCAAAAGGGTTTCAAAAGTAGAGACAAATATGTAAAGTCGGGGTGATCGAGGCAGTGCAAGTAGTTGCAGCAAAGGAAACGGGACGCCGAGAAGAAGCGCAACGAACAACTCTACTACTATATGACAAACATTAGTCAAGTGTCCCCGAGCTTCCCATGTGCAAATGACAACATTACCCTGGTGTCCTAGCGCGCGCCCGCGGCTTGTTCCTTTGTCCGCAGATGACGATGCGAGAGGGAGCGTAGCAACAACAAGGCTGAGTCTCGTCCGACTGAACTTACCAAACGATGTCCACAAACGAAAACAACAACGATTCCTCTATACGTCTAAACACACGGAGAGAGAGAGAGAGCAAAAGGAAGCAGACAGAGCGACAAGAAGGGCGGACGAGAGACAACCAGATCAACTCCGGCCAAGCCTACACCTATTGAAGACAAGAGGCCCGCCCCCAGAACCGAAAATACCCACATATTGCCTGTTACGAAAGGACCATGTGCCGAGGCATGTTGGAGGGGCGGATTCGCTCGACTGGGGGGCATAGAGGGTTCCCACCTACAAATGACGCGCGCGTGGTGCACCATCCCCGGCCGGGGGGCGGGCGGGCGCCGCTCAGAAAGTGGGCAAGCAAGTCAACCTAGGCTTCTTCCTCTGTCGCGCAATCTCCACATTGGAGGATGGGGGAGCATTCATGCGCCGATGTACCCCGTTTGTTTGTTTTTTTAATTTTGCCCAGACTAAATAACTATTTTGCATATGCTTCGTTGGGAAAAAGGTTGGACATGTCGCTGGATGTGCTTCGCATTGTGTGTAAATGCGCATGTGTTAACGGGGTAAGCGATGCGGTCATGTGGTTGCTTGCGACCGGATTTCCTTCTTTTCACATGCCGAAGCCCAGAAAAAAGTCTGGAGTGATTTTAACCACGCGCATGGCCGCTCCCCCGTAAACGGGGGGCCGAGCTGCGATTGGCCGGCTTTGGTGCGAGGGCACGCGCTAACCAAAGGGGAAAGATACCGAGGCATATGTAGTCACATCACTCGAATATGCTGCGACACGCAACTATGGCCACCTTTGGTTACGGAGGGACGATTTAACGTCGCACGGCGATATTATTGTAGCACCGAGATATGTCGTACAGGGCAAGGGCTCGCAACCTTTTCTTTGTTAAGTATTAATTCGTCTTACTGCTTATATATCTGCTATGCCTTGATAATCGGTGTTTCTGGATGCCTGATCCTAAGCTGTCCTGACTACTCTACGTCGCACCAGACAACGACGCAGGAGTTTCGCCTTCACCAGTCTTGCCCGCGTTCTCTGGATTGCCCTCTTCCTCGGGCTTTGTCGCCGATTTCTTGAATGACTGCTCGAAATCCGCAATGATGTCGTCAATGTGTTCGGTGCCAACCGAAATTCGGATGAGATCCTGTAATACAAATTAGCAACTCCACGCACTCGGACATGATACAAAGCCGATAGTACGTACCTCGGTAACACCGGAACTCAGCTTTTCCTCGTCGCTCAATTGCTCGTGTGTTGTGGTCCAAGGATGGATAGCCAATGTCTTTGAATCGCCAACGTTTGCCAAGTTGGAAATGAGCTTGAAGTTGTCCACGACCTGGGATCCTGCTTTGCCACCTCCTGTCACACCAAACGACAGGACACCTCCGTAACCACGCGGCAGGTACTTCTTGGCTAGCTGGTGAGATGGGTGGCTCTCGAGGCCTGGGTATGAGACCCAGCTCACATTCTCGTTGCTCTCCAGCCATTTGGCTAGCTTGAGCGCGTTATAGGCATGTCGCTCAGCTCTAAGGGAAAGCGTCTCGATACCAAGGAGAAGCTGTTGCGCAGCAAATGGGTTCAGTGCGGCACCTAAATCTCTCTGGATTTCAACACGAGCTCTGATAATAAATGTTATTGGGCCAAACGTTTCCCAGAATTTGAGCCCATGGTAGCCTTCTGATGGCTCGATCATTTGCGGAAAGCGCTTGCTGTGCTTGCCCCAATCAAACTTTCCGCTATCGACAATGACACCGCCAATGGTGGTTCCATGCCCTGTATCGGTCAGTCCACCGTTCTGCTCAAGAAAACAAGCTGGAGGACATACCTCCAATCCACTTTGTAGCAGAGTGTACAACAATGTCAGCGCCGTGATCAATGGGCCTGACAAAG